ATAAATGCACATTCACTTAATGGAAATTTAAACGGAACACGTTTTGTTGGGCGATTGAAATCATTGTGTTTTTCATTCATTTTTGGAAGAATTTATCAAATTGTCGTTATGTCTTTAGTACTTTGATTTAGTATTTATGGACTTTTTTAGGCGACTCATTCAATTGGCATATGTAGTACATTTTTATGCCTAACAAAACCAAAAGTGTCACAGACTCATAATGTCTTTGTTGTTTCCAAGAAGCGAAAAAACAACAACAACTTCTACACAAACCGTTAGTTCTTCAACAATAATTAGTATAAGTATGTGCGCATATAATATGGGTTTCAAATTGAGAGTTTTTGTTTGGGTTTCGTTCGTATTCATGCCCACGAGAATATATCAGCTTTGTTTGGATTCATCACGGCATGAAATGCGGTAGACGTTCAATGCACTTGTTTTGTCTTGACCTTTTTTTACCTCGCTTCGACGCATATGCATGCTACCAAATAAAATGTTGCGTGCATAATTCTACAGTAATAATAATCATATGCACCTCGTTTCATTTGATTAGTATTTTATCGTTGAATTTCCACTGCAATCTATAAAAAAAACCTCGTCGATTAACTAAAAAATTTCATAACAACTTCAATGCGTTTAATTTTCAGCTCGTTAAAATGATGATTGTCGATTTTATCAAAATATTCAGAAGATAAAAAATTGCCAGCAAATTATCCGTCACTTTGTGACTCTAATGCAGTGGTAAGATAAATCCTCTACAGTTGACATTGGTTTTATTGATAAAACAGCATTCCATTTAAGTAGGTTGATTAAATGTCTTGCTTGATGCGTTTATTCATAAAAACAAACCACAAAAAAAACTTGATTTCATGTAATTATTATCGAGTAACCCCAATCAATGTAAAACGGTCGTTTTTTTTTTGTTTTCGCCGTATGAAGAATGAAAAAATGAATTTTTATTCATCGGCACGTATCCATTGGCATAATATTGATGAAAGGCCAAATTCAGAATTGGAAAAATCGTTCAGCACAGCGTGAGAAATCAACGGCAAACGAAAGAGATGGAGAAATGAGAGAATGCATTATATGCGCGCAAATCAATTCGATACCATTTTATGTAACATTTTTGTTTTGTGTCCGATTTGGCGTGCATTTCCTTTCGAACATCATACGCGCAAAATGTAATAATGTAAGAAGAAAAAAAATTAAGCAAATCCAACGTGGGCATTTCAATGTTTCCAAGTGTGAAATGCAGTTCGAATGAGTCATATTCGATGTAAAGTAGCGGCCACACAACCTGGTAGAGATGAATGAGTGTGCAGTTCTTTTTGTGATTTTTTAAGCATTTGTCTCAAATGGAAATTTATCCGTCATGAGCCTTTGGTGAACATTCATCAAGACGTCGTCGTTGTCGTTGTCAGCAATGACTGTGCAAGAGTGTTATAGTCATAACCGGAAAATTAGGCGGACATTAAGTTGACTGTTGCAATACAAAATCGCGCCGAACGCACAAAAGTGAAGTACAACGGCGACTGATTGGATTGTTATATCCAAATCAAAACAATTGCTTGCATTTTGATGTATGTTTTCTCTCTTTTTTTCAGCGTTTTGTTGCACTTTTCATGCGAACTCATTCTTATTTACGGCCGATTGACCACCAAGTTTTTGATATTTTCTCTCTCTCTCTTCTCTCCGTTTTGTAGGCATTTTGCTTATGAGGTAAAGACAATTTCCATTCATATCCATTATTTAGTCGTAATCAAAATGTACGTAACATTCGAAACGCACTTCCGACAACCAATTTTACCTTTATTTCACAAAATGACTTCAGCCCAAGCAAATGTGCTGTGAAAATGCCGTGTGCCAGCAAACCAATTTCTTGTTGATTTGAAAAACATTGTGATTATCAAATGCTTGTTTATTTTAATTGATCGCCGTCGAATCTAACGTTTGCATCGCACAACTACGTACAACGTGCAACGGCTTAAAGTGCATAATTATAGCTTATGTATTGTTTTCACTTTTTGCGTAATTGTTTTGCGATTGCATGACAAAGTGCGGCTACTCATTTTATTTCTGTTGATCGGTCCCTACCCCAAAAAAGAAAAACAGAAAATAAAACCAATTCAAATGCAACGTGATAAAGATATTAAAATATGTTTGCATCTGAATCGATCGATCGAAAGGAAGTAACATTATTCTTGTCTTAACTGATCTTAATGCTTGTAATGCCATAGAATGCATTGACATTTTAAAATGGGGTTCATTGGCTTAAATTTCTACAGCACTTGATCAAATAAGAAACGGAGAAAACGACACAAAATAAAGTAAACGCTGATCGAAGCCATTTGGAGGCTGATTGAAATTTGAGCCGAATGTACACATGCCCATTATTTTCTGGAGAACGAAACAAACTGAACTGTGTACAACGTAGTCATTATTGAAAATCCAAATAAATGTAAACGATCAAGAAGAGAAAGAAAAGTAAAATATGGATTCTTTGTTCACTAAGAACACTTAAAATGGGCTAATCTACGTTTGAAACGCATTTTTTTTTTGTTCCGTGTGCTTCAGTTTCTATTTTCATTTTTAAAGCCATCAACGATTGAGTGTGTTTGAATGATGAAACACGCTCACATGCATCGCCATCCGTATTGTGCGCTCCATGCACAAATTCAAATACAAATGCACAATTTCTCTTTGGCTTCACCGATTTGATTGACGTTTTAAATTTCCTCTTCTTCTTCTATTTATGTGCTCGCTGTGCATCTAAGACTGTGCGCGTTCGCGGCACAAACACACGCTCACCAACACAATCAAGAGCGAGATGGCAAAAGAATTATTGTTGTACGGAGTGTACAGTTTAATCGTGGTATAAATCAAAAAAAAATATACACGGTATGCGATGGTTACGATTGCAATTGAAGCACATTATTTCCATGGCATCTAGTGTACAATTCGAAATGGCACCAGCGCGACAACAATCAAACAAAAGAAAGAAAGAACAACGTTTATATCGCAACAAAATGCGTGCAATGCAATTGGAATGTGAACTTTTGATTACTCTTTGTGGCATGGTCTCCTCATTGCGATCGATGAATTTAACGTAAAAATTGCCGATTCAGAGCGCGGAGAGATTTTTTTTTCGCGGTACACAAGCACAAGTGACCGGAAGACATTGATCATCAAAATTAAGACCTTCAGCGAACGATATGCTATACCATATGCATCCGACTGATTAATAAATAGATGGAGACCCAGTTAAATCATTTGATTTAAAGCCTCAACGGTAAAACGTTCAATAAAACAAAATATTGGCCAATTTCCTGCAATCAAATTGATACCATGAACGAAAACAAAGCATACGTTGAACACACACAGACACAAAAATTTATGGAAAAGAATATATTCAATTGCTGATATGTATGAAGTGAGCAAACATCGTATTCAAACATTTTTTTTTAGTAGACAAAGCCAATTGGAAACTGCATGTGGAAATACTCATTCATTTTGTATTTTAATGCGATCATTGTATTCCGTAACCGTTAGTCATGTATTTATAAAATCGACGTTTGTTTTTGAAGCATCGAATTGAAGAGAAGAAGAAAAAAAACAATCGCGTCCAATATTTGTTTCGCCGCAATTGTTTGTTTATAAAGATTGAAAAGTTTATTTGATTTAAAAGGCATTTTACAACTCGTCGTCGTCAGTTTGTTGTTGCTTTCTTTATAAGTATCTGAATGTAAGTTCGGTTGTGTGCCAAATGCAGCCTTATGGTGTACTTTGTTGTTGTTGTTGTTATCATTGTCAGTCAACATTCATAATTCATACGGTGACGGTCTTCGAATGACTCGCAAAACAATCGGTGCAACATAGTTGAGGTTTTTTTCTTATGCATTTGTCTCCTTTGGCTGTTATTTTAACTGCTGCTATTGTCTTTTATTTCTATTTGTAAATTGTCGCACTAATTATAGCCACAAACATGCGGTGCAAATATGAGAATGTGTAAGAGTTTTGCTTCACCGATAAAAGGCAATTGCATACACTGTTTTTATCTTTAAAAAAAAACATCGGCTCAACTGAGACAATTTGAAAATTTCTCGTTTCGTTTTTTTATCTTTTTCTGCTGATGTTGTTGTCTTTGACAAACACTCATTTTTCCATTTAATTTGTGGTATTTTGTGTTGACGTGCCCGTGCAAAAAGTACAACAAAATGGTTAGAAAACACCTCTTTTTCTCAGACATTCTCTGTCCATTTTCTAGGAAACACACACACACATGACATATGAAGCATTTTCAGCAAACTAAGTGACTTATTTTTAAATTGAATTTTGAAGTTGTTTAGCTTAGCAGATTTTTTTTTTGTACTTATTCACGTCGAAAAAATGGAGTTTCAATGACAAAAAACACACATGACTGACGATAAAACGAAATATGTGATCGAAAAACATTGACTCGATGCTTGATCAAAGACTAATGCGCTTAAATGTGTGGAAAATATCGATGAATGTTCCGAAATTGAAAACATGCACGAATTGCACAAAATTCGTTCACTCCCTGACATTTCCAGTGCAGCATAAAATCGACACCACGAAGAACGAACGAGAGAAACACACCGCATGCAAAGGAAAAACAAAAACGATATTACCACACATTCACGACAGTACGACAACTGTACCGATAGTCCACCGCAAAAATGAAGGTCGAAAAAGAAATATTCACTGATTATACATGAATCGAAGGCACAATCGAATTCAACGATGCCTTTTTGCACAAAACAACAACAACAACAACAAAATATCACAAAATCATTCGAATTTCAGCTAAAACCAAATGGTGTAGTCCAGTCAAAGTTCAGTTTGTTTACGATACGCACTTCTACTATAAAACCATTTTCGGTTCTGTTAGTATTTTTTGCCTAATTATTGTCTCCATTCAAAAAACAAAAAGTCACATGCCTAAATATATACACATTCATTAACCACAATGTCTTACTTACGCTTTGTAGTGTGTTGTGGTGTTGTGTGTCTCGTAGGACAAAAAAACAACAACGAAGACAGTGATTTTCTGCTAATCCATTAATGGCGAAGTGCACAACACAGATGACTGTTTACACTGTGAGTTGAGAGTGGCTGAAATCGATGCGCTTCGTTTGCTCAACTGCACCATCACAATCGCAAGACGCACTATCACTACTTTTATTCCAAATTAAATTTCTATTCTTCTTATTTATTTATTTTTTTTTTTCCTTTCTTAAATTATGTTATTCACTACACTTCTTCTCACTTTTGCACAATGAATTATTATTCTATATAAAAAAAATTTCCTTTCGTGAATGAAGGGAAAAATTGAAGACAAATTCAATTTCTTTTCACAATAAAAATTAAAATTTTTGTTGTTGTTCCACACACACTCATCGAAATATTATTCTCACTCCATTTTATCAATTGGAATTCTTGCCGTCACTCAGCACAATTCACAAATAGAAAAAAATATATATTTTTTTGTGGTCTTTTGTTATGCTTGTTCCCTCGTTGGTGTGTTGTGTGGTTTTATTTTATATCGTTGTCTCATTCATTTGCTTTTGTTTCACACACAACATATTCTGTTGTTTGATTTTATGTTTTTTCTTAGTTTCATTGCGCGATCATACGATGGAAAACACGCACACTTCACATCACAGCAAATTCATAACTAAAGCGTTGTTCGTCGCTTATTGTCGTCTTCGTTGTTGCCGTGGTCGTGTACTCTCTTATAGACATAACTGATTCACCAAAATGCATTTTTCGATGTTACTCGCACATTCAACCAAAACGAAAATGTGTGTATACGAATTGCGCTCCGAGACGAATTCAACAACAACGACTACCGCAACACGATAAGCCGCTTTCATGGTGTGCGTGCGTATGTGTTTGTGTGGACGTTAACTTTGTGGATGATATTTCTATATTTGAATTTTAACCGATCGCTTTTGTGCTATTAAATAGTAAAAATTAAACATTTTTGAGACATTTTTTTTCGCTGAAAGAAATATTTTTTTTTAGATTTGAATGTTTAACTAAATTTGAAAGACAAATAAAAAATCCATTCAAAAATTAAAGTCATGCAACAGGAATGTTCGAGCCGATTATACAACTGGAATTGAATGCATCCATTTTGCCTGAATTAACACTGTCAAACCATTATCCACACACAAATACAACCTTTAAATGTCAAATGACAGTCAAAGTTTATTTTTATTTGTCTATAATGTGAAAAGTGTGTGCGCATTAAACATTTCATGTACTCTTTTATAAACTATTTAATTCTTTATAACGACTAAACATTTAACGATAAACGATATAAAATAAAATAGAAAATGTCAAGCTTACAGAAATCTATGATGAAATCGCATTTGCCACCAATGGTACCAGTGTCCGCTGCCAGGTATTTTATTCAATGTTTTTCCCTAATTTTTCTATCTTTCTTACTGTTCTTCTCTTGCGCTATCTTGTGCGGCAAATTGCAGAGATGGTGGTAATCGAAAGGGTCGTCAAAAGGACTATGTGCCAACCATGTGGAATGAATATTTTGAAGAAAAAGAGGATGTCAGTCTGAACGATGACCAAACATTTCGTGTTTATTTTTCGAAAAGAGACAAGGAAAACCAGAAACCATTGCTTGTTCTATTGCATGGCGGTGGTTATAATGCATTAACTTGGTCACATTTTACGGTGAACAATGAATTGATCTACTTTTTATTGTTGAACTCATACTAATTTTACGATTTCATTATCATTATTGTAGACTGAAATAACGGCGATTATAGATTGTCAGTGTTTGGCAATCGATTTAAGAGGTCATGGTGATTCACGTGTTGCAAACGAATCCGATTTGTCGGCTAATACACTTGCCAAGTAATTTGTGTTAATTTCATTCATAAAAATATCCTTTAAATGTTTTTGTGCGAAATTTTCAGTGATGTTGGTGAGATCATATCAAAATTGTATCCTGAATCGGCACCACCAATAATGCTCATCGGGCATAGTATGGGTGGAGCAATTTGTGTTCACATTGCGTCGTTGGAACTGATACCATCGCTAATTGGTTGCGTGGTCATCGATGTTGTTGAAGGAACCGCAATGGAAGCATTGGCCAGTATGCAAAGTTTTTTACGTTCACGACCGCAATATTTCAAAAGCATTCAACAGGCAATTGAATGGAGCATTCGAAGTGGCCAAATTCGAAATGCAGCATCGGCCAAAGTCTCAATGCCAGGACAAATTATAAAGTATGAAACCAATTAAATCGAATTTCATTGCCAATTTTTTTTTTTTAATTTTTACATTATTTCTATTATAGTATTGAAACTGGAAAGTTAGCTACAAATGAATTACCATTGAGCGATGCACACAGTGATACAAGCTCAAGTGATTCTATCTCAGTGTTCAACCATTCGACCATTGCCGAAGACGAAGAAATTGACAATGCATCACAACCACAAAATCAGCAATCACATTCAAATGAAAAGAAGTACACATGGAGAATTAATTTATCGAAATCGGAACAGTATTGGAGCGGATGGTTCGATAAGCTTAGTGAGAAATTCCTAAATCTTCGCGTACCCAAATTGCTACTGCTGGCAAGCATTGATGGATTGGATAGAATGCTTACTGTTGGACAAATGCAAGGGAAGTTTCAGCTGCAAGTTTTGGCTCGTTGTGGCCATGCTGTGCACGAGGTTGGTTGATCGAAACAAACAATAGTAAACGATATTTAACAAAATGTTCTTCTTTCACAGGATCGTCCTTCGGAAGTGGCCGAAGTAATCGCCAGTTACATGATTCGCAATAAATTTGCCGAAACAACCGGTGACTTCAAGCAGCATCCACCCTGCTGTTAACATCCTTGATTTCTTTCATTTTTTTCCCCCTTACATTAAAGTATATCAGTTTTTTTGTGCTCTACTCATTTTTATTTATGCTTTAATTATTATTATATCATTCATTTAAAAAAGTTTTCAATAAATACCGTACCAACATGATCTACATCTCTACGTTTTTTTTATCTGCTTTTTCTAACGTCATTTGGAAAAATAATAAAAAGTGAAATTTCTGTGCAATTTAAGCTAGCGTCTCTTGAAAGAAAGACAAAGATTACTTGTTTGCATTTGCCGCTTTTACTTTTTACTTTGAGAATCTCGCGCGTTTGTTTCGTCGAAGCAATCGATGTGCATTTCCCGCTAAAATAAAGCGATATTCTGTAACAAAAATGTTTATCTATATTTACAGTTCGTTGACTTGGGTAGAAGTGATTTATTGAAGTCGAAGTTTGGACCACTGCGTTGCATTTGGTAAATATTTTTGACAATATTTTCAACTGAATACTGAATTTGTTTTTTTTGTTTTATTGAATTAATTGCAAAATAAAATTTAGATAGAAATTAAAAAAAAATTCTTGTTATTTTCAGTTCGCAAGATGAATAAATTTAAAGACAGCGTTTTTCATATAAACACGGTTAATATCGGGACAAATGAGAATCGCAAACCAACCAAAAAGCAATACAATGTCTCACCTGCAGCAATTCCACTCGAACCATCTGAAAGCGTGCAAATTAACAGATTAAAAAGAAAGAGACGATCAAGTGTGTGGCAGGAAACTGATATAGTGAAAAAACCAAAATTCGACCCATCGCCGCCGCCAAATCTCCAGTTTACCAAGGATCTGCTTGCTTTGAATGAAAACAACAAAAATGAACTAATTGAAAAAAGTATGAAACTTTTATTTTGTTTTTCAACATTAATACACTTTATTGGTATCAAAAATACTCATATACGTATTTCGGAAACAATGCTTCCTTCTTCAGTGAGTTAGATGAACAAACTAAAAAATTTTTCCTCCAAACAATGTACATCCGCCTCAATTTCGGTTCCATCATCAATATGTTTAAGGATTATTGATGCCAATTTTCTCAGCTTGTCGTATTTGCTTTTTTCCTTTTTCATTTCTCGGAGTGAAGCCTTCAAAATTGTGTGTGCCTTTTCCACATTGCCGGATATTTCTGAAATAATAAACAATTCCATATCTTTTTTAACTGAAGAAAAACAACGTCTTGATAGTTCGGCAGTTTTAACAAGAATTAATGCTTTATTTACTTTATTCAAACATAAAAATTATCAACCTGTCATATGAAATTATGCATTGTCAACATTAACTAACCAATCGATCATCGCGTTGTGGTTAACATAGAATTTGATCTGTTGATACTGAAATACCATATGATCTTTGAAATGTTCTTTCAGTATTTTTATCTGATCGTACAGGTCTTTTGTATCGTATGGGCATTTTATTCTGATGGCAAGCAGGTGTTTCGAAGTAATTGACAAATTCGTTTGGAAACCGTCCAAATATTGCTCGAGTTCTTTCAAATGATCGACGGATATGTCATCTTTGCCTTGAACTGCATCACAATACTTTTCGAATGCTTCTCCGATATCGTCAAATTTCTTTGCATCGCTGATGAATATTTTTAGATGGTCTATGCCTTCTCCGATATTCTTTTTGGCCGATAAAAATCTTTGATTTAGAGCTGCACATTTCTCTGCCATGTTTTCGATTTGGAAATTAAACGCAGCGTTTTTAAAAGAAGAAAACTCCTTTTCATGATTCGCAAAACATTGAAATCCATCGGCCAATTCTTTGTCCAGCATTACCAATTTATCGATTGCCTGATTAATTTCTTTTTCATTTAGCTTTTCTGAAATCATATATTTTACTTGGGAAAATTGATTTGAAACGAATGATTGATAATGAATTTTAAATAAACTTACTCGGCTCTGAATCGAGGATTTGCTTTTCGAAATCTTCCAGGCAATCGATAAACTCGCGAACATTTGGCCACCAACAACTAAAAACTCAATCCGAAAGATAGTAAACCGAATTGTAACGTACGACAAAAATGGAATTAAAGTTTTGGCAAAACCTTTGACAAAGGTCGATTCACCATGGAAACTATTACAAAATACACTCAACAGAATCGCAGTTGATTATGCAGCATTTACACCAAAAACGGTAATAAATGAAATGCGGCTTGTATCATCGCCCGAAGAATCACTTGAGGAATTCGATCGTTAACAGTCGAAATCTCTTTGTCAATAAAATGGATGCATTGATGGTGAAATACTCAATGCACACTTCATTCGGCGCGAATATCTTGCAAACGACAACGTAATGATACGGCACCGATACCGTCTCATTATACCAATAAGCAATGGTCTTGAGTGGCATTTTGAGTCAACTACCAAAGGTAGCAACCAGAAAATAAAATGGATCTTTTCAATATTTCATTGTGTACGAACATTTCATGTACGAACAACGAACGAACAATCCGAACATTTCATTTTCGACGAACGAACGAACGCAATACAATTCTACGAACGTACGAACGAACAAAAAGATCAAAAAATATTCTACGAACGAACGAACGGTTCGTTCGTTAGTGTTCGTGGACAGCTATGATCTCTACGTTTTCTTTTTTTTTTTTGCTTTAATGAGAAAAACAGATTTGGCCAAATTTTTAACGTTTTCAAATATTTTATTGCGAATAATACGTATTTTTGTTTCACATAAGAACAAACTTTTAATTTTCAATTTGAGTTTTAACGCATTTAAAAAACAAAGCCAACAAACGATTCACGCAAAATCTTATTTTTGTTTTTGAAGGCAATAGACTGAATCGAATTATAACTTATATGTATAATAATTTGATTAAATAAATGTTGCATAAAGACGTTTTTTTAAAAAAATTGTATAAAATTCTCAATAGAAATGAATTCGAATATGCTGAAGAAACATTTGTCTAATAGTCATTAATTCGAAAAAAGCGATAATTTTTTTTTATTCTTTATAAAAAAAACATTTCGGCTTCATTTTTTACCATTTCTTTTAAAACACACTACCCAACTTTTTTTTGATATATTTACGCAAATTCATACAGACTCATGCAGACATTCGTTCCGCACACAAAATGCTCGCTTTACATTTCTTTTAAGGAAGTGTGTGCATAGCTTAGATAAGATTATGATAGGTAAAATGATAATAACCCATAGAATTCCGGATCTATTTTGAATGACCCCAAGCAAAATGGGTGCTTGTTTGAATTAAATTCGAATACTATTTAGAGGACATAATTTGATTCGGATAGTAAATGTTTGTAGCCACCAGTTCCGACGTACATATTTTCCTTGCGAAAATGGAATGGCACCTGAATTGTCAAATAAAAATTCAATCAAAATTTTGGAACAAAAACCTAATATGTTCAATTCATTTACTTACTGCATGATACGGAATCGGAATGACAACTTCTTCCGTTAAGCGTTTTAACATTTTCAAACCTTTGTAGTATCTCAACACCAATATCAAGCATAGCATATTTATGAAGAGAGTCAAAAGTGAAATCATCCCTGTGAAAAGATCAAGATAGATGTTGTGGTTTAAATTGATCGTAAATATTTGTTAGAGAGAAAGAGAAAAATAATCATACATCGACAGAAATAAGCGGTGCCCATGTAACGAGCAAAGAAATCACTTGGACACGCATAAGCGACAAACAGTGTCATTGCACATAAAACACAAACAATCGATTGAAAGATGATCCAAGGCAAAATAAGTTCGCATCGTCGTTTAATCACACCTATAACGATTATAATGTCAAATCTATATAACCCGTGTTTTCTCTATGTGCCTTTGAAATGACACGGACGCAGAAGTCAGCACCTTTGCGTGTATGTATAAGGAATGAAAGAGATGTGAGAGTGTAGCTATGTATGTGTATGTGTGCGACATTAGTTGTACGTCTGAATACAAGTGAACAGTATCATCATTGAATACGCAAAGGTGCAGACTACTGCGATTGTGCCATTTGAAAGGCACAACGAGAGAACAAGGGAATCTCCATAAAATTTTAATTACCAATTAACAGGCCCAGTGTACACAATGCATAAACTGCAGCCAATGCAGTGGCCGTGTATAAAAGAATTAATGTGTAATTAACGAGTTTTTCAGCCTCCAAAAATCGAATATCATTTGCAGAGACTCCGTGAATTTTTGGTGTTTCATAGTATTCTTCGCGTTCTTTTTGATCCAAACGATCGATGAGCAATAATCTTGACATCTGTTTTGCATGAATCAAACCCAAACAAACCAAAAACAGAGCAGAATGTGCGAAAGCCTACCGAAATGCAAATGGAAAAATCAATAATTGACTGGCTCATCGAAAAAAGAAAGCAACAAAAAAAATCATAAAAGAGAATATTTACCGCTTGACCAACAGCCAAAGCAATAACAGCAACACGCTGATGTCGCATGTCACTCAACAAATCATGAAATAATTTCATTGTTCTCTTTTTTCCTGGGAAAGGATTTGCAATTTCACTTATAACACTTGATGTCGACATATTTATTTTTATCAATAAAAAAGAGAGGAGATATTTTCAACAAAATAGAAATGCGACGAAAGAGGTTGTTATTGAATAACCGAATCAATGTGAAAATACGTTGAATTTAATGAAGAAGTAACGAAAACTATGGACGAAAATAAATTGATCTATTTAATTCCCCATTTGTGTATGGTTATTTTGAAGAGAATCCACTGAAATTTATCTGTTGTGCAATTCAAGGATTAAACGTTTATGACACAAAATATACAACCAAATACTATCAGATCTTGCGCACATCATCATTTTTCTATTTTGAATGCATTTATGGCCCTTTGTGTCATTAAACATCAGCTAGCAAAATGATAAATTCAAAATACTTCCATATGATACGTTCTCGTTGATTTTATCACGTGCGTTTTATTTTTGTGTGAAATGCCAAAAATATGAATTGACATCAAATTGATTTTTCCAATGTTTACATTTGATTTTTATTGCAGAAATAACAGAAAATAAGAGAAAAAACAACGGCAACAAAGCCGATTCGACGGCTCAACCTCAATCGACGGCATCGGCTTGCAGTGTTGAGCTGTCACTGAATTGGTGTACGACTTCTGACATACGCAGCTACAAAACACATACATGCACACATGTCTATGTTACATGGTCATATATCTATCTACGAGAACGGAACGTTGATTTCGATTAGAGGGGCAGCAGAAGATAACACTAAAGTATCAAACGACAGACGATAGACGAGAGCAACGGCAGCAAATTCATTTAGCTAAACGAAAAACAAAAGAAAAGGCAGAGCAGAAAAGGGAAAAAAACACAGATATAGATAATTGGAAAAAAGAATAACAAAAAAGTTTCATGTCCAAAGAGAATTGTGAGCAAGCATTAATTGCTTTAAAATTAAAAATTTGCGTGAAATAGCCTAAAATGAGGTAAAAATAGTAAAGAAAATAGTGTTGTCAAAAAGAAACGAAAAGTTTGCCTGAAACAAGGCAATGGATTGTTGTTGCATCGAAAGTTTTCATCCAAAATGCAAATTGGCCCATTCATGTGTGTTGCTCTATCACATCATAAAAACCATTGATTATTGCGCTATACTTATTTTCCGTGTGTGTCGCATCTATGCATAATTTACATTTTAACTAGTGGTGTGCAGCTGCAGTTTTATTTTTCAAGTGTTTGTCCTCTTGGTGATGGTAGTAGTGTGTGTTGGTGGTACATTGGTGTTTGTTCGATTTCATTCATACTTTTTTTTTCGTTTTATTCATAAAAACAAATCGCCAAACATCATCACAAAAACAACAACAACAATACAAACACTGACATATGAGAAAAAAAATGCGAGAAGACGAAGGAGAAATGAAAAGAAAAATTGATTGGTTTTAAACATTCGATCCGTCTAACCATTTAATCATCATTGACTGTGTGTTCGCTTGACTGCATTTACATATTGTGTGTATGTGTGCCATAAAATAATAACAAATGTGATCGTATTTTATTTTATCGGGAAGCAAATTCGATAGTAAACAAGACATTTTTCGTTATTTTTCTTTAGTTTTTGTTTTCTAAATTAACCGTTTTGTAAAAACCAAAGACACTTACACGCAGATAAGTCTTCGATTAAATTGCGTGTATAAAACAAAAACAAAAAAGAAAAACATTTTTCGACGCACATAATAACAAAAGACATATATATTAATCAAAATCAATTATCGTTTTCCATTGTGAATACATATAGTACTTTTCTTCCATTCGTTTTGTTCGCTTTTGTGTGAATTTTATTTATTCAAACTCATTTCCTGTGTAAGAGAGTGTTGTGCACTGACGAGTGCAATATCGGACTTTTTTCCTGCTTCTTTTTTGTTGTTGTTGTCGTCGTCGTCGTCGTCATCGTAGTATCGCTGTTTTCATTCTTATTATTATTGTTATTGTGATTCTCTATCAGTCTTTCACTGGATATGTCAACGTTTCATACATACAGCTAATATGGTTTGACTCTCCATTAATGTTTATGTTGCGCATTACGAGTGTATGAGTGCCGTGTGAGTCATCGTCAAGCACCATCAATAAAATAGATGAGGAACGAAATAACAACGACACAAAAAAAAAAAAAAATACATTCAAAAACAAAGAACCATATAGAGAAGGAATGAAACGACAACAACAACAATTTATATTGGAATGACAACGAACTAGTAATTTCATATTCATACGTATAACATTGCAAACGCCAAGATAGTTTTATTTATTCGTTTGTTTTACATTCACATTTACTGACTCCATATTAAGTGTGTATGGTAATTGCCGCTGTGCGAGTGTCAACATTTAAACATCAAAATTAATATCACCACACAATACACATTTTTAGCACATAAAACCTCAATATATATACACTTATATTTGACTTGAATTGTGATTTTTTTTTATTCTGTTGTTGGTTGATAATAATCATGTTTGCTGGAATATTGTGGCTTCCAAATTAATAATAAAACGCACAATAAAAAAAAACAAACAAACCACATCATCATCCACACATAAAAAACGCAGAATAAAATTATTTCCATTCTGTTTCATCGCATCTGTAACATAGACGCACTCGTTGCTCGAGTGTGCATTACAAGCAATTTATTTCGACAACATTTCTTTTTACAATTTTTGTGTGTGTGTGTGTGTGGAAGTAATTAATAAATCAATCAATTATGGCCGATCTTATAAGAATGGGTGGGATCATTCCAAAGGATCGTATGGACACGCCGTCATCAGAAGACGAAGGTGGTGTTGGTGTTGATTTAACTGATTTAGCCCAAGAATTAGATCAAGACGAATTTGACGGTCCAATGCTCATTAACGGTAAGACCACTCTGATCAATTGATTTCCAACGAGCCAATTAACATTTTATTTTTATTGTCAATTAAAATGATAATTCTTTGGTGTCTGTTTTATAGGCGATCGACCGGCAATAATTGCTCCCCCGGAGAGTGAATGGTATCATGGACTACTTACCGATTACTTATCAATTATTTTAAATTTTATTCTTTTCTTTTGTGATTCTCCCCTTAGGTATCATGGACGATTGGATCGTTATAGTTCAGAACAACGTTTACGGAATGCCGGTAAATTAGGCAGTTACTTGGTGCGAGAGAGTGATCGTAAACCCGGTTCATATGTGCTTAGCTATTTGGGACGAACAGGAATTAATCACTTCAGGTAAACAATTTTATGCACATTTTCCGAACATAAACGAATGTGTGTATTTAAAACAATCGGTGCCTAATTACAGAGTGACTGCTGTCTGTGGTGATTATTATATCGGCGGCCGACAATTTGTGTCGCTTAGTGATTTAGTTGGATATTATACATCGTGCAGCGATTTATTGAAGCGTGAGCGTTTGATATTTCCTGTGCCACCGCCAGAGCCCGTCAATGATAAGAAACGTGTCGTCGCTATACTCCCATATGCAAAAATGCCTGATACAGACGAATTGACCTTTCAGAAAGGTGACATTTTTTTCTTACACAATGACATGGGCGATGGTTGGCTTTGGTAAGTATAGTACTAATCATCTGATATTCGTATTTTCACCTCTCAGTTTTTTTTATCAAATCTATACTAAATCAAAATCTTCATGCACAGGGTAACAGCGCACCGAACGGGCGAGCAAGGAATGATTTTCCGTGAACTTGTCGAAGATCTTGATGTATCGATTGATCCAAATACGGTATTCCCATGGTTTCATCCAAATTGCACAAAAAACGAAGCGGTCGATATGTTGGTCAAAGCCGGACCGGGCAGCTTTCTTGTACGGCCAAGTGATAATTCGCCGGGAGATTATTCACTTTTTTTCCATATAAACAATCAAATTCAACGGTTCCGTATCGAAAAGAAAGGTGTACGATATTTGATGGGCGTACGTATTTAAAATTACTCATGTTCCATTACATATTGATTACTTTTTTTTTAATCACCCGCAGGGTCGAACATTTGAATGTTTGGATGCGGTTATAAATCGATATCGAAAAGAACAAATTGTCGAGGGTCATTGTTTGAATCATCCTGTTGTGAATGGTAATCAAACTGAATTCAGTCAACAAACGGCCGCATCGATTGCCGCCGAAAAGATTTATGCAACATTACGTGAATGTCGCGATCAAATTGGCCTAAAGAAAATTAAAGGCATCAAACACACCGGATACTTGTGGAAAAAATCGGATAAATCCGTCAAATGGAAACAATTGTATTTTGCTCTATTAAACGAAGGCTCTGAAACGCATTTATGCTTCTATGACAATCCAAAAAAGACAAAACCAAAAGGATTGATTGATTTATCATGCGCATACTTATATCAAGTGCATGAATCGTTATGGGACCGACCATATTGTTTTCAAATTGTGGAACGTGCTCTGCCGTGTTTGGCCAACAACACATTTTTGTGCGCCAACAACCAAGACACTTATACCGAATGGATAAATGCATTGAAACCGCAGTGTGTATCACAATTGGGTAAAACACAAACGGTTAATTTAAAATTGAGAGAATTGCGCAGTTTGAATTTACAAATATTGGAAGCACATCGTTTACCATTCAAATTAGTGCCACAAGCCTATTGCAGTATTGCATTCAATCAAGTTAAAATAGGAAAAACACGTATGAAATCTGCACCCGATCCAGTTTGGGAAGAGGAATTCGTTTTGGACGATGTACCAGCCGATGTGGTTACGATTACAATTACCGTGTTGAGCCGTGGCAAACGGAACAAGGACTCCGAAGTGGCCGATCTAACCATTGATTTGGCAACGTTGAAAAATGGATTCGAAACAGAAGAATGGTATCAATTGAACGGTATGACTCCGATGGGCGAATGGGGTTCGTTGCGTTTGAGAATGCGCTATTTGGACGATTTAATCATGCCATGTGATGAATACAGTCCATTGCAACAATTGCTACTTGAGCCTGAACTGTCTTCGGTAAAAGCACTTTCTGAGTTGTGCCATAATGATCGAATACCGTTGGCTACATCGCTTTTGCGCGTATTTCGTCATGAGAAACGTGAAACTGAATTATTAAGGATTTTGTGCCAGTGTGAAATCGCACGTGAAAATGAAACTTCGACACTTTTTCGCGGTGCTTCATTGTCAACTACGCTTATGGATTTGTATATGCGTGCTGAATGCGGAGCATTCGTTCAATCGGCACTCTCTGACACAGTGTCTCGCGTTCTCGAGAGTAAACAGTCAGCTGAATTGAATCCAACAAAAATGGTGTGTATGCTCTCTTCTTTATTTTTATTTTTCACTGATTTTTTTTTGATTCACTGTTTCAGGATGACATCGAAGATGCATGCTCCAATGCTGAATTTTTACTACAAATTCTCGATTTGGTTACACAATCTATATTCACTTCGCCTGAAGAATGCCCCAGAAGTGTACGCTATATATGCAATTGCTTGCAAAGATCGGTGGTTGCAAAATGGCCAACTGAGCGTTTAGTTCGCACGAGAGTCGTCTCGGGATTCATTTTCTTGCGTCTTTTGTGCCCAGGTAAATTGAAATTGAGATTTTCTTCTTCTAAAAAAAACCAAGAATTAAAATATGCTCGTTTTTTTTTTTCTTCAGCTCTCTTAAATCCACGACAATTTGGTTTGGTCACAGAGACCCCATCGAATGCTGCGACACGCTCTCTAATCATGATAGCTAAATGCTTGCAAAACTTGGCAAATTTGGTTGAATTTGGCGGAAAGGTAATGCATACATGGCCATTATTAAATGCAACACAAAAATATTAGGAGTTTTTTTTGTTCTTCACAGGAGCCATACATGGAGGTCGTTAATCCATTCATATTGAAAAATAAAGAACGAATGATTGTATTCTTGGATCAATTATCTTCAGTTCCGGATCCAAATCCACCACCAGGATCGTATGTGGAATCGAATACAAATCACAAGTGTTCCGATACAGGTAGCATTTTCTTTTCTTACCTCCCTCTAGATTTTTGAATCTTTTCAAACATTTCAAACCATTAATTTATGTACATTTTTCATTTAATTTTCAGGACGTGAATTGGCCACGCTGCACCATATTTGCGTGTCATACTTACCGGAATTGCAACGGATTGCCAAAACGAATGCGTCAATTAAAAAATTGGTTACCGTTACCGATATGCTAACAAAGCATAAATTAAAATACCGTGAAATGATAAGCTAAATGCATTGAATGCCATGCTAAGTAGTTTCGATTTGCTCTAAACAGGCTGATTGCTGGACATCTTAGCTTATTGTAGTTGTAGCAAAGTTATGACAAAACCGAAACCAAAAAAAAAAAAAAACAAAAGACATTAGCTGCGAACTGAGTTTCGAATTTATTTTAATCATTTTTTTTTTGTTCAGTCAAATACTTCTATGTGTCTTTGATCTAATCGAACGATTTCTTTTCATCATTTTCTTTACAAACACATTCAATTTCGAATGATATTTTTTAAATTTAAATCGAATCAAAAACACCGAAGTTATTCTACATTAAAGAGGCGAAGATACCATTTTGAGAATGAACGAAGTAGGCAGTAACACACAGCTGAAATGATATTCCAAATAGTTGAATTCAAATTGAAGATGTATTTAGTAAAGCATTTTAAAGCGGAGCATCTCAAAGAGACGCTGACGAGTTTGGCTCAGGGTCGATTCCCATATTACACAATGCCAAATACATACAAGCATAATTGAAATAGATCAATTACCATTTTTAAAAAAAGGAAAAAGAAAAACATAAAACGATTGTAGAGTGTCAATGTGCCAATGATCGCAAACGTAGATTCGAGTGTCAATTTTACAACACAAGTTACTTATTTAGTCAAATCGTAAAAGAAAAACATAATACGTACACAAAGTAAAACACACCCAAAAAAATCAACGATCTACTAATTCGTTTGTTTTGATGATTACTTTCTCCATTAACCATTCATCTAGATATTAGCAAATAGACACATTAATTATGAAGCATACCGGACAGTCTAACAATAACAAGTATATTACGATTAATTATATTCGCCCAAAAGTCATGTACCACAAATATTTTCAAATCATATTACTAGGCTTAATTAGACAGTAGGATGATTTTATTTTCACTTTTATTTTTCATTGAAATATCGAACAAATAGATGATTCGATTTATATTGTATCATGTAGAAAAAATTGGAAGTACGCTAGTCAAAATAACAATTATTTTGTTTTCTCTTTTTTTTCTATATTTGCCAGCCTATTTCTATTTTTAATTTTGTTCGAATTAACAAAATAACGGATTTGCACAAATTAAGAACAAAATTTATTATAACTATTATTACGTTTCTCTTTGAATTATTAAAGATTTTATTCATTTCTTATTTTAAATTTTTTTTTATCTTAAAAAAGAGAAACATTTATACGCATTTAAATTATAAACGTTTTATTTAACTCTTCATATTTAGAACACATTTTGTATGCATTCTACCAAAAATCAATAAACATGAATCTGAACGAAAATAAAATGATTTGCATTTTATTCTTCTGAAGCGAATGGTAAATTTTGGTTTTTTTTACTTTGACTTTATTTTCTCAATTTGTCCAATTAAAAAAATACATATCTCTGACAGAGAGGTAGACATTTAATTGTATCAACAAATCACCAATTTTCTTATAAAAATTCGTTTACTTAAAATCTTAGTGAATTTATTTGGAAGAAGAAAACCGAATATGTGTGATAGAAACAGAGTTAATTGCTTAATGCTATTCTCAAGACCAAAAGAGTATTGATGCAGCCATCATAATGCAACACACCGCCACGTACGGAGATTTTCGTTCACCGATTCGAGCCAATTTCCAAAATGTTCCCATCGCACTAAGCAAACAGAAAACAAAACAAAATGTATAATTAAATTGGAGATAAATAAAGTATTTTTTGTTATCTTAATATGCCTTTTGTGTGAACTTACCCCGTCTTGTTGCGGTCGATGATAGACGGAAAGAATGATCGTAAGTATGTGCATGTACAAATCAGCAACAGAATCACCGACAGCAAACTTTGGAAATTGAATAGAGCACTCTGCGATTGAAAGAGATAAATGAGAATGCATATAAGTCACGATGGAAAATTTTGTAATGATTTATTTTCGAAAATTACCATGTTTAATCTGTTGGAAAAGGTCTCGGAAAGAGAGAATCAAAAACACGAAAATTAAAATGACGTGTAAACAATCAATTGACAGATGGTCTGACAGTTTATGAATTATTTCATTGAAATTCACAGCTAAGTCCAATAAAAAATAAAATCACAAACGATGATTTTTCGACGGATTAAATATGAAAATTGCAATTATCGAATGGCTTCTTTAATTTGATTGTTTTTTTTTTCGCTGTTTAAAGCGATTGTATGTTAAGAACGACACAACACAATATTTCATAGACATTCCATTTGACAATTTGGCTGAACTGTCACAATGTTGACGTTTCGACTGCATTAGTATTGGTGAACATACAGAAAACGTGAAACATAACCATATCTATGGAATATTGTTCATTTTGAATCATTTTCATTGATTTTACGAAATATAAATTAAAATTCCGTGTGATTTGTCAAGAATTCTACTCGAAATGTCGAAGTTTGTAAATGTGACAAAGTATGCAAAACTTGTGAACGCAAACAGCGAATATGGTCGTCGCATGAAGCATTTATCGAATCGAATTTTCGGCGAAGTAACCAGACCAACGACCAGCCAAAGTATGAAAGTTGTACAAATGTTCCGTGAAGAGCCGCTGTATCTACGCGATAATGTGATTAACTACTATCCACGGCACATTGAAATGGGTCAAATGATGTTACGTCTCCGTGAATATGGTTTATTCCGTGATGAGCATGCCGATTTCCGAGAAGAATCAAAACGTTTGAAAGCACTCAGAGGAAAGGGTCCACCACCGCGTAAAACCAAAGAAGAAGGCAAACGATGGAAGAAGAAACAACAAAAACTTGCAGAAGAGGCCGAAGCGGCTGCAAAAAATGCTTAAAACTTATATAGTCGATATTGAATCGTTGCTTGACACATAGAAATTTCAAATTTGATTAAATAAAATCAATTAAAGTATGAAAACAGATGTTTCTCTTTCTCTCTCTCTGAAATTGAATTTTTACAGGGATAAAATATTTCCTTGCATTGGCCATTCTTGTCATTCAAAAACGTAATGTATTTACAGCGAAACTTGATGAAAAATTATTTTTCCCACATAGTCTAGCTGATTGTTAGATAGTAAATGCGTTGCACACATGCGCAAAAATGTTCGTGTTTACACATAACCATATGACAATCGTAGCTCGGTGATGTTAGTGTTTTATTTATTGTTCAATAGAGCGTGCAGCGTTGGACTGTAAGTTCTCTCTCTGCATTCAAGAGATAAGAGTTTAAGTTCCGTAAAATTGAAATTTAATATGTTTCCAATTCGGATGCATGTGAATTCGATCGTAAATTGTAAATAAAATAACACACATTGTGTGCCTTGCTTTTTGTGTGTGTTCACTTTATTCAGTGCCATTTGATCATTGGTGTATTTTTTCGCATCGACAACTAAATTTCTATATAATGTGTCAACTTATCACTTAGTTGAATGCGACCTCGTTAAAGGTACGAGATGTTTCTAATATAAAAAAATTGTATTCGAATTGTTCATTCAGTGCCAGTTATATATTCGACAGTGAATTGGATTGAAAGTTTTTCTTGTACATCCAAACTAAAATACAATGCCACGAAACAGAAAAACATTAGCATACGTTAATACGTGGCTGGAAATTCTCATTCGTATTGCCATGGCAATTGCATTTTTGTAAGTGGTTTTCTTATTCATTCGCGTTGCTATGACATTTTCGTGTTTGAAAGTCAACCAACATTGATTTTTCCCAAACTTATTCTCTTTTTTCTTTCTCTCAACAAAAACAGCTTACTGGAAAAAGGTTCGCCATTCAAACGAAAAATTCACACCGATGAAATATGGCTGTATCGCAATCCACGCACCGACAGTTTCGTACCAACTTCGATTCTTTGGCCATTTGTATTTGGTATTCCCTGCAGTATATTCCTAATTCATTTTCTCGCAACGAAAAATAAAGTCGAATTTTTACAAGCAAATTTATCGCTGTCGCTGGCACTCGGACTGAATGGCATAATCACCAATGTTTTGAAATTGTGTGTTGGTAAGAAATATTTCTTGGTTTTCGTTTTTCATACTGTTTTCACTTCACTTCTGAATATCTAATCTAAACCAAACATATATTTGATGTACACAGGGAGACCGCGGCCTGACTTCTTTTGGCGATGTTTTCCCAACGGAGAGATAAATGTTGATATGGAGTGTACAGGCGACGAGGCGGTTGTTGCCGAAGGTCGCAAAAGTTTCCCGAGTGGCCATTCATCATGTAAGTGTGAACGTGAACTTATAAGAAAAACCACTTCGAAATTATTATTCATTCATGATTTTCTTTTCAAATATTTTTCTATGCAGTTTCATTTGTGAGCATGTGTTTCATTGCGTTATATCTGATGGGAAAATTGCACGTATTCGGCGAACGTGGACGCGGTCAATCGTGGCGTCTGCTCATATCAATGTTGCCGCTCTTTTTTGCAATGTTGGTTGCAGTGAGCCGAACTTGTGATTATCATCATCATTGGCAAGACGTAACAATTGGTTCGTTGATTGGAATTGTTATCGCATATCTTTGCTATCGTCAATATTTTCCGGCATTGGATTCAAAAATGTCACACCGATCATATGCCGACATTAAAGTACGTGATATAAATGAGTTTACCAATCAAATGACTTCCGCACTACCCGAAACAGATCGATTTCTCGACGAAGGAAAGGACACAAAATGGATTTGAATCTCAAATTCCAATCGCATATATTCAATTACACTACATTCAAGTTTATTTAATCTATTTAATATTCCATATTAGTAATAAGTGACATTTTCTTGAGTCATTCTCAAATAAGCATTTGACTTTTCAAAAACCACCTTTATTTGCTTGTGCAGCACAATTTTTGTTTTAATTTTTTTTTTTACAAAATGTTGTTTTCATTATTGTGAAAATGTTGTCTTTAATGACATTGTATGAACGAGGCTATAAAGCACAAAATTTTTACTTCTTGCACAGATAAATCAATTTTCTCAGTGAATGGGTGATAAATAAGAATGTATGTATTAAGCTTAAGAAAATCATGTTATTTTTGTAAACTATGGCAATGGCATTTGCAACTGAATAAAAAAATGTGTTTACTTTAAGAAAAATGTATTGTGCGACGATGAGTATTAAATTTTGAAGCTGTTAAAAATCTTCACGTAATCGGCTCCTTCATCTGGATTTGTTGAACTTTTGATGAATGCATTGATGATTGTGGCAGCGCACTCTATCTTCCTGTTACGAATAATCGTTTCAACTTCTTCCAGTGTCTCTGCTCCAACATTGGAAATGCCATCACTATAAATTCAATAAAAAAAATTTATGTTTCGATGTCTGCTATCAAATCGCTTGGACGGTTTGTTTACAAACCTTTTTATCGTTTGATTGTCATCCGTACTTTTGTCAACACTTCCACATGGTTTTAAGAAGCGTCTTAGTACTGTACAATCTTTTGCGTATCGTGTAATGCATCTGCCTTCGATCAGTTTGAATGTTGACAAGAGACCACCATGAACGGCCGGTGTCATTTCGAATGTTTTCATTGACACCCAGTCCACATTCGCCATAAAATCGTGAACGTCAGTGTAATGTGTTGTAACAAATGAAATTGGACACTTATCAGCACGTCTGGCCAAATGATGTAAGCAAGCAATCAACAATGATTTTCCATCGGCTTCCGTCGTTCCTTGACCCAATTCGTCGACTAAAGTTCAAAGAAAGTCTTATTAAGCATAAAGCACGCAAAATACAACCACACTATACATATACGCACCTAAAATCAATGACTTGGATGAAGAATTCATGATAACATTGCTCATTTGCTGCAATTCAATCAAGTAACTTGATTTGTCAAGGTACATTGATTCATTTTGATGCATTCGCGTGTACACCGATTCAACAATTGAAATTGTAACTGTGCTAGCTGGCACATACGATCCAACATGAGCAAGATAAATGATTTGTGCCACTGTCTTCATATAAACACTTTTTCCCGATGCATTCGGTGCAATGAGAATGTTTATCAGATTCTTTTTCTCAACACTAACAGACGTATCATTTGCAATGCATTTTCGCTGTAAGCCAACCAGGAGATGACGTCCGTCCTATGCGAAGCGAAAAGAAAAACAAATGTTCAGACGATGGTGGTTGCCACGAAAATACGATGAAAATACATTGTCTTACCTTTATTTCGAGAATTTTGCGATCGCTGACAATTTCCGGTTGTACTAGTTCATGTGTCAACGAGAATGATGCCATTGCCATCAAACAATCAAGCTGTGCGCAAAAATTGATGGCACGATGTATGTCATGGAGTTTTTCATAGACATGTTCCATCAAACGGTCACAAATTACCTGCTCACGTTCTTGTATATCGACATGTAAATGACCATATTTTTCATTCATTTCCCCACATTTTAACGATGAGTAATAAAATGTGTCACGTAAATGATGCACAAATTTCAAATGACCATTTTCCAGCGAATGAGGTGATTGCAAGCCACTAGTAGCCACTACACTAGATGGAATTGCTATTCAAAAGGGAGGAAACAAATCTTCGTTTAGTCAATCAATCAGTCACTTCGAATGGTTGTTTAAAATTACCAATTAAAAATCCCAATTCAGCGACAAAATGGCAAGTGATTTCTCTGATTTCTGGAGGCAAATGTAAGACATCGTCTTTTATTAAGACACGTAATTCGTCGCGAGCAATTTGAAATTGTTCCTTTTTTGCATCGAGCTCTTTGTCCAAACCAGGTCTCACGGTAAACTTTCCGGTTGCCGTAGATTCATCCAAATCGACGATTGTATTGATGGTTTTCAGCATTTCACAAACTGCAGCATTTTCATTGGAATATACACCAAACTGTTCAATAACCGTCCCAGCTATATCTGGTGATTTTATTCTGACCAATGCAATGCAAATATCGGCGATATCTTTTACATAGTACAGTGTGCGTTTGAATGCTTTCCACACATTTGGTTTGCCGCGCGTTCGAATCAATCGGGCATACAGTTCGCCAGTGTTTGAGACTTTTTTCAATGAAGCTCGAAATTTGGTCAAATTAACGGCATTCTTTTCATTTCGACACCACTCAATCATACGATGACGTCTGCTCAATTCATCTACAACGTTTGTTGGTTGAAACAACCAAGTTTTCAATTGATTACTACCCAATCGGGACACGCAAGTATTCATTACACCGAATAGAGATGGACCGTTATCGCTTGTATTGCTTGCACCTTTTTTGAATGCAGATGGGTGATCTTTGTGTGCAAATACCTAAATGTATAATTTTATAAAACTAATTCTCACATGAGAAGTTTTTTTTTTCAGGGGACAAACTTACCTGCAATGAGCTAAACGTCGAATCATCAATCAATACATTACCATCAAGTTTGTAGACTTTGATGTCCGATACGACGGGTCGTGTTTCTTCTCGCAAAAATAAATGTTTCCAATTGGCATCCAAAAAATGTAACAAATTACCTAGCGATTGTACAACGAGATTTTGATGCAACGGAACAACTGTTTCGATGAAATTGAACCGTTCTTGTTTGGTCATTTCGGTGGTCATTCGTGGTGTGTACATTTCAAGTATTCGTATTCGATTTTCGGTCAATGTTTTGTCATTATTTGTGTACACAACAAATGTTGCTGCGCTCAGTGTGCTCAAGCGATGCAAACGATATTGATTTGGATCCAGTTTGTTCGGCATACCAAGCAATTTCATAATAGCGGTCAAAAATATATCTGGTCCTGTGCGATGCGAAAAGAAAAACAAATGTTCAGACGATGGTGGTTGCCACGAAAATATGATGAAAATACATTGCCTTACCGCTGGCGACCACATTTCGCATGTTTGGCATTATGCGAAATAGATTTTGCAAATGACAAAAATCTGGACGCAAATCCGCAGTTTCATAAGTGATGAAAAGATCTAATGACAGCACATTGTAGTACGATACCGATATGTGACCGTCACACCAAATGAACGAGGCAATAAATTCATCGGTTGGAGTGCCAAGTTCATTTTCCTCTTGTTGTTGTTGTTCGCTTATCGCACTCATTTTTGTTTCGATTCAATTCAGCTTTTCAATAACGATATATTTCACACAAAACTGTATGTATATTCCGACAAAAAAACAACTTACTTTGTTAATTATTTACATAAATTTTTATTTGGAACGATCGAAAATAAAAAATCAAATCGGCTAACTGTTTATTTTTTCTTTTTTGCCTTAAATCTATCGAGTGCGTTACGACCGACACTCTTGTTGTCGTCTTCTGTTTTGACTTTGTGTTCGTCGATGAGTTGCTGCCGAACCCCTTTGATACTTTGTATGAATTGTTTTTTCGTTTGGTCACGAACAATTCTCTTCGCTTTAAACGCATTCACTGAACCACCTTTTCCTTTCATCTTATTGCGTTGCTTGAAATCTACCGTTGGCGCTTTGAGATACTGTAAATACAAATGAAATTTATGTTAAAAATAAAAATTCTATCATCTTTTTTTGTTGCACATACCAATAATGATTTCTTAGCTTCAATGTTTTCGTTGAGCGTTGGCACATCGACTTGTGAAATGACATTTGGATCCAATTTAATCAATTCAGCCGGAATCTTATCCAACAGCATATGTACTTCGCTCTCTTTACGTTGTGATTTAGTTTGATATGGATTGGCTTCGAGCGCATCGAAATTGGGTTCGCCGGAACCTGGCACAAGCAACGATGTGAAACCTTTACCAGTTCCTACACCAAGAACATCTTCGAATGGAACGAATTGCATATTTGCGATGGTGTCTGGACAGCGATGTCGCATATATGGTGCTTTAATCGAAACTGCATTTGGTTTACGATAAATTTCACATTGATTACCCATGCCGAATGCAATAAGGCCACGTTGTGAAATTGCCAGTTGATTTGCTGGATTTCGTAGAACAAAATCTGAAAGTGGCCCTTTGAGCGTACGAACATCCCAGATTTTGACATGTCTATCCAAACCGCTTGTTGCCATAAATGTTCCTTTCGGATCGATAGCCAGTGCGGTCATTGGTGTTGAATGGCACAACATCTTTGCCAGTGGTTCTTTGGCAACCGTTGGTGACCACATCGAAACCACTCCCTTTGAATCTCCAATACACGTAACACCATTGTATGGATTGTGAGCCATCATTCGAATCGGACCCAATTTCGATGGATAATTCGCAACCAATGTACCCGTTGATACATCCAACCATGACAAAAATCCCGTATCACTACCGCTTACAATCAAAAAATGATACGGTAGAAAATCCAAGCATCGAATACGATTCATTGCTTTCACACAATGCACTTCAATTCCTTGATTATCGTAAAAATGCACCCAATTCTTTTGTGCGACGGCAAACATTGTTTCCACATGTAACCATGTGACATCGGTGATTTCTTCCATAACATTGAACTCACAGTGCATTTTCTTTGTAATCCAATCAAATGCAGCAACGTGACCTTTTCGACCGCCCAACAATAGATGACGACCATTTTTCGTGTAACGCATGCGATACGGACCGAAATCTAAGCTCAAATTGAAATGCTTTGAAGCTGCTGTTATATCAACATTTGCAACAATTTCTTGTTGTGTATATTCGGCTGTGGTAACTCCATCCTCTGGCTCAATAAAACCTTCTTCTTCGTTCAACAGTATTTCAGCTCTGGCGGCTTGTTCATTGGCAAAATCATAGTAAACCTCTTTGCGTTGAAATTTTTCTTTGAAATGTGCCGTCTTTATTCCTTCGCCACTCGATTTACCGCCACCTATAAACACCGAATAACGTACGTAAATATTATTGTTTTTCCTTTTCTTTTTTTACAAAGAAAGAGAATCAAATTACTTACGTGAGTGCCGGTCTTTTGCATATGGATCAACTTCAATTTTAACCAAACTTTTCTTTCGCTTGTTTTGTCCATATTGTTTTACATTTTCCGGACGTTTATTGTTCCATTTTGATTTTGCATAGAACTTTTCCTTTTCTCGTACCTGTATTACTTCACCTTTAAACGAAGTCGCTTTCTTTTTATTGTTTACTTGGATTTGTTCAACATCTTCACTTTCAACTTTTCTCACATCGCTGAAATATCGCACCGGTTTTTTTACTGGCGTTTTTAATTTTTCAATTTCTTCATTCATTTTTTCTACAATTCATATGAACTTTATGCCGTCGAATTATTTACGGTTGTAAACATGTGCGCTTTGACAGATAGTGTTCTCGTTTATGTATTTGTCAAACACAAGTGTCAAATCAACTTTGCGATGAGTGCGTTTAGTGAATTCAGTGGTTTGACATTAAAAAAACAGCTATTGACACTTTTCTAGACAAAAAATATATTCAAATGAAAAAATTGTTAGATTTTATCATAATTTACCTATAAAATATCAATTTTTCTTGCAAATGACTCAGTTTTTGCTTGATAAATGATGAAATTTGACAAACACTTTTTATTTTTCATTACTGATCAACAAAATAGAAAACAATTGATTTTAGAAGACAAAATAAGACTTTTATTGAAATAGTTTTAAATTAATATGAAGATGAATAACGCTTACAAATAATTTCTTTTCTCTTTTTTTGGTTCAACACAAAAAATAGTACTTTTCCTTCATAGAAATTTTTTTAAAAATAATTTTGCGTTTCTTTGTAAAAAAATTTCTTTTAACTTTGATATCGTTCAACGGAATATCAATTACTTTAATGTAGATGAATGATGTAGAAAATCTTGACATTGTTTGCTTTAATCTAGTTCCACGTCGGCATCCGAGTCGCTAATTTCCATGTCGCTAGGAACTTCTCCAAATCCAATTGGATCAAAGTCTTCTTCGTCTTCGCTAAATAGTATCGCAAGTTCGTCATCATCATCAAAAAATTCATCGTCTTCCTCGTCATCACTGCCTTGCCCGTTTGATGACCATTTGGGAAAAACATGATTATGTGTTCGATCCAATTCCTTCACGCAAAACCATCTATCATTTTGGTCATTAAGCTGTTTAATTTCTGGCACCAAAATTTGTTCACAATTACCATAGATTGTTAGATCTAGCTTAATATTTTCATCGCGCTTGCGAATCGAAGCCAACATCATGTCATAGGTATACGTGTCGAGATGTAATGCCGGTGAATCAATTTTTATGCATGACAATCGCACTGCATTCTGTACCATTGCCGTAAGACTATATTTTGTCACTTTAGCATTGGTTTTGATGTGCAGTTGTTCAAGTTGGTTCAATTCTTTTGTGAATCCCACAACTTGATTTTCAGTCAGTTCGGCAATTTCGTTCAATTTCAGAATTTTAATGGTTTTCATCTTGTTGATGCTGGCCAATGTGTCGTCGTTCATAGTACCATTTGCGAGCTCCAAATGTTCGATTTGAATGGAATTTTTGACGAGATTTTGAAGTAGCTGCGCTACAGATGATTTCATACAATCCAAATTTAGTACTTTAAGATTTTTCAAAGCTGCCAAGTGCATCAAATCAGTTTGTATTGTATTTTCGGCTAGTCGTGATGATTTAAATTCGAATTCTTCGAGCTGCTTCAGTGAGCTGATCGCGGAAAATACATTCGACGTAACATACATACATTCGGTCACCGTCAAACTTTTTAGCATTTGATTTGCTTTGATGAATGTTTCCAAATATTCGTTTAACAGTCCATGGCATGAATCAAATTCGATTTGTTCCAATTCTTCGAAGTTTCGTCCAATCGTTTTTTTCCATGAGCAATTGAATTCGGACATTTTGAGTTTTTTTAGATGTTTCATGTTACCAAAACCGATATTATGCTGTTGGAATGAGCAATTGTCAAGCACCAATGTTTCGATCGGCTCAAATAATGCGTTCAGTTTTTGCATGTTTTGCGTTTCAATGAAAATATCCTCGAGTTTCAGTGTTTTTAGATTACAACAATGATGTTTAATCAAGTTCAGCAAGTCGTACGATAAGTTGTCGTTTTGATTGGCAAATAAATAGCGAGCCAGATTCAGAGATGTCATCAGGTCACCAAATATTTTAAACAATTGTTTAGCCATACCATAGTTAACTTCATTGTTAACGCCAATGAGCGATATAAAATCAAAGCATTTATACTTCAGGCGAAAATGATAACGCGCCAAACCGTTCATTCGATCGGAAGTTTCAGCGAACGTAGTTAATGTAACCGGATTCATGTGTTCGAGAATTGATAGTAGGCAATCATCATTGAGATCTGTTAGTTTGTCAACGCGATTTTTCTTTCGTAGACGTTGAGGCAATTGATCCATTGTAAGATTTTCAATGACGATATGCTGAGCTCTAGCACGACTACGGGTCAGTGGTCCTCGTAGCTGGTTCGTAGCTGATTCTTTCGATTTTCGGTTGGGCAATAAGCGACGCCGTCTTTGCTTAGCCGGTGACGGAGACATTTTGAGCGTTTTGTTCCACCGACCACAATCTATATGATGAAATTATTAGAAATTGTAATTAAAATTCTATGGAAACGATTCTATGAATATCAATGTATTTTTACCTATGCGATGCCTTCGATTGAGCTTCACATGCGCAAAGTATTAAATGAAAAAGTTTGACCAGCAAACGCCACAAATTTTGCGGTTATGTTTGTACCAATGTGAATCCTTTTACGTATCCAAATTACATTAATTTTTTTTCGATTGACCAACTGATTGAAGTGACAACATGAAAAAATATCACTTTGATTATTTGAATAAAAAGATGAAAACAAACGCATGCACCAAAATATTCTGCATTACTTACAAATTTCGTGTTTAATTATTTTTTTCTAAAAACGATTAAATATTCACTTTTCACCAACGTTTGGTTGTTAACAAATGAATTTATATTGATTGATTGGACATTTACTTGAAAAGTTTCGACAAAACAAAACGAAATTACACCAAATTTCTATTGCTTTACAATTATGTTTCTCTCCGATTGCACGTTATGCGGCTATTTCTATGGTTGTTGCGATCAAATGACACGCACAAACATGATATCGTCTGTGAATTCCATACACAACGGAGAAATGTGTCAATGTGATTGGAGATCAAAGCCAATATGGCGAAATTCAGATGCGAATTGCAAGCGGTGTGCGATAGTTCGAATGTATTAGTGACGGCATCGACTACACACAAAACAACTACACAGTAAGCTGGCAACTGCACAATACGGTTCTTATTGTTGTGTAACCTGTCATGTGTTCTTAAAGAACGCTGTGAGGAAAAAAGGGTTTGCATCGATTAACTGTTGAATTCTCCAAATAGCTCTCGCCTTATCAGATGGGTGAATATTTAACAAACAAAAACAAACAATGAAATCATTTGATTTTCATTATTAGATCGTATTAGATAGAATAGGATACACTTCCAATGAAATCATTGTATCATGATTAAAGTATTATATTTACGATGATGTGTGTGGATGATTCAACAAGAATTTAATGTTTAATTCTATACTCATTCATATTGGCAATGTCGCACATATTTTATTTATGTAACGGTATTCATGAAAATATTTTAAAGGTGATGTCTTGCTATGAATATTAAATGAAATCGATTTCCGGGCGAACAAAATTGAAGATGAGAATAATCATTGTTGCGAAAAAGGTATTTCTTTAAACCCTTCAAAATAAAAAAAACGGAAATTTTTTTTCCCTGTGAAATACTTCCGTTGATGCTTGCCGTGTGATAAATTTCGTCGTTTTATTTTCGCATGTTTTAAAAGTGTCGAACAATATATATTTTTACTTTTAAAAATCTTATTTTCTTGTACACTCGTTCTATGCAATATACAAATGATGCACACGTCATCCGAGCCCATATGAATCAGAAGGTTACGAAAACTTATTAAAAAGCGAGTTGAATCGAAGATCTGGGGCTTCTCTGATCGATTAGAATCTGATTTTTTGAGATTTTTTTATGCTTTAACAAAAAAACACAAGATATGAACACATTTCCATGAGATATTTGAACAAAGAATCCGGTGATTTTTTTCTTGAAATCCAAACACAAAATCCATTTGAAATGGTTCGGTGTCACGATATGAGCCGATTTCCTCGGCGTTGGAGTTTTGCTTTGTGTAATTCACCCGACCCGAGATTGTGTGAAATGCCATTTTCATTCATAAGACACGTGCTTAAGCATCGAGCATATGGCAATCAACTTTCGTCTTCATTTGACACGGAACATCAATTGTTGCATGTTATGCCTTGAATGTGGGTGTTTTATGTATTTTTAGGCGAAAATAAAAATAGCATTGCCTATAGGAAAAAAAAATGTTCAGTTGAGTATATTCAACAAATAAAGCGGGTTCGGCCGTATGACACACACTTTCCAGTTATGTTAATCAAATTCACTTTTCCTTTGAAACAATTGTGGTAAAACAACAAAGAAGAAGTTACAAAACATATTCTTCAGGGGTGTGTTTCCACAAATGGCACATAAATTATGTGAAAACTTTATAAAACAAATTATTTATTATATTTTTCTAAATGAGACGGAAGAATTCAGTTAGCCAAATGGCTAGAGCATATTTTTGTTCGAATTTGCTTTTTGATATCACTCATAAAACGAATGTGGTAATGGTTATTTATGAAATTAGAACTTGTATTGTTGGTTTTGTCGCAGACACAGACAGTCAAACAATGAAATAAAATGTTCGTTATTTCATTTCAATAAAATGTTGACATTGCAACGATCAATTCTTATTTTATACTATATATCTGCGTTTACTATTTCCATGGCCAACGACATGGCATTCGATTGGATTTTTTGCATTTGTGTCTATATATATGTATGTGACTTCAAAAAATATTCACGAATCCAATGGTGGTTGCTACTTGCGATAGCGGACAAATTGCAATCGAAACAGAGATATTTATTCGAAAAATATGTATCTTGAGGAAAATTATTGAGATTATTATTAATATTAAAATAGAAATGATTGGCGTGAAATTTATGATTCGTACTGATCTCATTTTGATTACAAATATATGATGAACTTCAAACCAGCAATGTTTGACTGTTTGTGTGTTTATACGTGGGCGGATCGTCTTTAGTTACATAATTTAATTTGACATCGATATGGTATCGATATTATATATAAAAAGTTCACTGTTTATTTAAGATGACAAAATCCATACACCGTTCTGAAGAGGAAAAAAACACTACCGATCATCAGTTAAGAGACTTTGTCGAGAGAATAAAAAATCGACGACTTATATTAAATATATTTTGCTGAAATTGCAGTCGAAAATGGCGCTTTGCAGTGAAGCACACCCGATATAAATCGAAGAATAAATTGAATGATGACAATGAAGTGTGGCATTTTTTTTGTCAAGTGTAGCCGTCTTGTTTAATGTGAATTGTCTGGAAAGTTCATAAAAAATCATTTCTACATATAGACGTCTGTTCGTGCTTATTCGTAAAAAATGCTAATACACTTAGATTCTAAGTCATATTTATACTAATTCATTGCTTCGCCAACATCTCAGCAATGCTCTTTGTCAATTTAATTCTCGCTTACGACACGATGCTATGCAATGCAATAAGATATATTATTTGGGAATGGAATACACACAATTTTTGCACCAGATTGGCTTAATACACCACTATTATCGCATTCGAAGCAATCATAGTGCGTGTGTGATATACATGGGCTTATTTATATATGACAACAAAAACAAGCAATTCAACGAATTTATTTTCGGTTGAGTAAGTGTAAACATTTGCCGGGGTCGAGAGAGAGAGAGAGAGAGAGAGAGAGTTAGAAAACAAAAAAACACAGTGAAGACAGTGAAATGAAACAACAACTGATAAACAAAACGGAAATGTGTGGGAAATTGACACAGAAAGACCAAGTTTCGGATAAGTAAGCAGAGAGAGAGAGAGAGTCAATGAATGTCGATCTCATTATTATCGGGAAAATGCTTTTGTCTTTATATGTTTTTCCACAAAACAAATAAATTTGGTAATACACACATATATACGACTCAAGCACACATAACACTTTACATTGAGCTTGTAAATCTACAAGCACTGTACTGTAATTGCTTGCGATTTATTTCATAGCCAATATACTATAATATCAAATAGCTTTATCTATATAGCCTATTTTGTACATCCGATTTGGTATTATTCCATGCAATTTAGTATTGAAGAACACAGTTTTTAAACATGGTTGATTCTCACCGAAACCTAATACAATTCACATCTTTCACAGAATAAATGTTGATTTTCTCTTCTCTCAATCGACAGGAAACGATTTAACTGTAACAGTTTACCAACCAAATTGCCGTTCACAAGGATCCAAACGATGCGATGATTTTAACTTCACCCTGTGTGTACATTGACTGCAAACGAACGATAAAATGAAAATTGAACATACACGACCGTGACATTGAATGTACATTTAGAAAGTACATTGACGAGTCGGAGCGTGTGTATATACCTCTTTCGGCATTCTTCCGTTGCGAGTACTCTCGATTTCATGCTTTCCTCCGTGTTTCCATGCTACAATCACAATAATGTTGGGGCATCAACATTCGCGCATTTGTGCAAGACTACGCACCCGGCTGCTTCGGATACATATCAGTGACAAACTCGATTTTCATATCAGAACACGTTTGGCAGCCGAGCTGAGTGTTTGCCTTTTTCGATCATCCCTCGGTTGGAATTTTCTAATTTCAAATTTCGTGTTGGCATTCATAGCATAGCGTACATTGCCAACGGAAGTAAAAGTGAACAAAATCTATTAAAACTATACTGACAAGTGAGTCTATTGAGTTAATAGACATTCATTATTATTAATCTGTGACATATACATTTTCAATTTACGAATAGAAGAATTGAATTGTCGGAAGTGAAAATAAAAATTATTTAATTTCCTTTGAATGTTGGATGGTGGTGACTAAAAGTTAAGCCTTTATAAGCTCTATGATGATCCTGATAAGGAGAACGGATTGCGATTTATAAATTCCAAGTGGTAAGTTCATGTGAGAACCCTTGATCTAGTGATTGTTGATTTAACGCGTTTCTAAAACGGTTTCAAATGATTATCCGCATTTTAATTTTTTTTTCCACACAATAAATTTATTTATGTGAAAAAAAAAATCAAGATACGTTAGAAATAGCCATTGTTTTTTGAAACAAATGTTCGCTTAGATAGTAAAATAAATGAAATTCGTAGTGATGCCGCCCGAAAATAAAATTGAAAAATATAATTGAATTCCCGGTTGACTTCTTTTCCATCAACAAATTGTCAATCAGCACACTAATCGAATCTTGGTATTTTATCGGTTGAGAAAATGCGTTTTTTTTTTGTGTAAATAATAATAACAATAAAACAATTGAAAGAATACATTCAAACGCAAAAACCATGAAATTGTTTTGCAAAACTGTTTACATTAATTTTTTTTTCTATGAAAAATTCGGTGTTATTCCCGGATGAAAACTTTGCACATCAACATTGATGATTCGGCAATTGTTTCTCTCCGGAAAAGAATGTAAAAAGCGGAAATTGTGTTGTCTGTTTTTTGGTAGCAGACAATTTTTACCTATTCAATAATGAAGACCTAAATAATACGAAATACCATGCGTAAATTAAATAAGACCAACGACATTTTCCACGTGCTCTCATGGACAGTATTATGTTTAATAATTTCACTTTATCTTCTTCATGACAACGGCGGTGGTGTGCGTGTTTATAATAAATTTAATTAGATGAAATATGGCGTAAAAAGGCTCGACTTGCAAATAAAACAAGAGGTATCATTTTACATGTAAATCCACAATTCATGTTTGCTCACAATCGGGAAACCAAATGAATTCAATTTTGTTTCACATCAAAAAGATGAGATCGTTTGTCGAGTGTGCCAAGTAAACAAATTTAAAAATGAAAATTGAAATGAAAAAGGTAAATGTTCATTTTCTCCAATCTATGATTGTATCAGCAGGGATCGAAATTATCTTTCAGCTTTTTAGAATTCCATCAAGGCTAACAACACATACAATACCGAAAATGGCCATGGAATTCGGTGTTTTAATTGAAAATCC